CAAGTTTTCCCACATTTCACTCTCACTCTCTCAGGCTCATTTTTGTTGAAATACAAATCTCTTTTTTCAAACACAGCATATTTAATGACTGCCTTCTTAAATTGCTTTCCATCTTCAAACAACATGCCAACATCAAAACTTGGGGGCTCTGATTCAGGATTAAATGAAGCATACCTGTTGTCTGACCTTTTACACCTCCCAGAATCATCCTCATCCTCAACCTCAGACATGTAGCTGCGGGGATTAGATGAATCATACTCTGTACTGTTCTCCTCATTCTCACTATCATTACACGTGTTTGCCCCCTGTTGTGTAGGTATGTGTTCAGAGCCCAATATATCTTCATTGACCTCATCCTCATCTCTCTCTTGATGGTCAGTTGATGCAGCTTTTTCTGTCTCAGATTCTTCTTCCATCCATGACTCATCTGCCTCAGAGTCTTCTGACATCCATGATTCATGTGTCTGACCTTCATCTGCCTTCCATGATTCATCTGAACTGACATTGGACTCCTCATCTTCAACAACAACATCTTCATGAATATGGGCACCTGTTTGTTGATGTTCACTTGCTCCAGGCTCATCTTCAGGAACATGGTCTTTGTTTGTACCATCAACTTCAGGTTGAGATGCCTCAGGTGCAGGCAGAAGTTCAACCAATTCCACCTCATCTAAGCCATGTTCCACAAATATGTCACACTGTCCACAACTAGTAGCCTGCTCTATGAGATGAAGGGTTGACTTATCATCAGACAACTGTCTTAAAGATTTCATACTCTGCCTTGGTTTTTTGTAATACAGAGCCTTAATGTTACCATAACTACCCGTTTTTAGGCACTTCATTAAATGAGGATAGCAAATCAAATCTGGGTCAATTGGTAAGACATCAACTTCACCACCTACGTATATTATCTCAGGAATATACTTAAAATTTCCTCCATGGTGAATGATTAGTTCAACCTTGTCAAACATGTTGTACATATGAAAATATTGAAATCAGATTTCGGAATGTGTAAATTTTTATTAGATAAAGAACAATGACCCAAACGAACGCTTCTAAAGTGCAAATGACTATCGCTTCACGTAATAATATCATCACAATAGCTACATTCATGCGACAAATACGAACACAAATCACCAACCTCATGTAAATACGGTGGACTTACAACTATAAACTAACCTGGCGTTTGTCTTCTTCACGTGGACGGTGAGAAGTGGATGACCAGCGTCGAGGAGTGCTATGTTGCTTATCTTCTCGCAGAGCTTTGAATTAAGGTCGTCAATGAAGGTTAGGGCACGGTGTGGATAGTGGAAGTAAAATGATTTAGGTGAGTCAGCACTGAAAGACCGATAGGCAAAGTCCACGTCAGCGCCAGGAAGGGAAGCAACGGGCAAACCGGGAACCAACCGGTAATGTAGACCTAATTGATTGATTTTGGAGACTTCGCGAATTCAATTGAAGGTTATCAAAGTACAAGGGCTCAATTGCGGTTTCGCCCATAGTACGAGGGTGTAATTGACGGTTTTCCCAAGTTAAAACCCCTTTTAAACCCAAAATGCCACCGGTGTGGGTAGTACATAGGAGCCGTTTTACTTCTTCCATCCCTTCAGCTTCTGCTTTCATTTCTTAATTATTTTTAATTTGAATTTTGGATGCCATGGAATTCTGTCTCCCAAACCGATACATCCTTGTTTTCCTTCTTACTATTTCCTTCTTTCCATCTCTGAATTTTCACCGATTTAGGATCTGAACGGCTTCTATTTTGGTTTACTTTGGATAAATCAAAGGATTTGAAGAGTAAAGCAAGATTCGTAGTTGTGAAAAGCTTGGAACACTTCTTCTAGATTTTCTGGAAAGGTAATACCTATAGCCTGAGTTTGATTCTCTCGAATTCCATCACATCCAATCCAAGTATTATGTTTCTCCTGCTGCCCTAACATATTTTGCCGTTTCCAGATAATCAACAAAAACTGTGTCCATATTTACAACAATGCTTTCAACATTTCCAAAATTATGGGTTTGAAGCAACTCCTTTTTGAAATACATGTATTGAAAAAATATGCCTTGTTTTGGTGAAAATATTTAAGCCCAAATTTGGTGAAATATGACTTGACCAGCTGTGAAGACTAGCACCAGACAAATATTTTTTGCAGCCAAATTTGTGACATCACTTGAGTATTTGCTATTGGAGCCATTAACAATTCAAATTTATAAAGCATGACTCTGTCTTGAGCCACAAGCCCACAATGCCACCAAGCGGCGCTGCTCGTGCGGGGTAGCCAAGCGGTGTTCCTGAATTGACTGGACTGCGATTGGACCTGTATGCGAATTGGGCCTCTTGGGGTATTTGGTCCCGGTCTTCAACCTCTGCCTAATATCCCAACAATTTTCATGTATGAATTTACACACATTTTATGTATTTTGGGCATCAGACAGTATCAGTCCTAGTCCCAACTGGCTATATAGCCATTGGGGGGTTTCGCGGGGAGTTGGCTTTCATCGTCTTTTTCACCTTTTTCATCTCAGATTCTCGCAATGGTGTCTTCATATGATTTGTAGCACTTGAAGTTAGCTTTCATATGAGACTTGAATCATGTCCTTTGGATGCTTTTTCAAAGAGATATGCTTGAACGATTGGGGGCCTAAACAAATTCTATAAATATCTAATCATTTCTTCATTTTTTCCTACAATTCTATTTTACTTCTACTCAATCTGTCTACTCTCAATATATATTCTACAAATTCATATTGAATATATTACTATTAGAATTATACTTAAGCAAAATGGACAATAATAATCTCATCTATTCATGATCTGCTTGAAATGATCCACAATATCAATTATGTCAAAATAATCCCAACTATTGAAAAAAATTCACAAAATGTTCCAATGGCTCGTAAATATTATAAACAGATTACGGGTTACTATAAGTCACTGAATAGGGGTATTTTGAGAACTTTTTTCAATAGTTGGGGTTATTTTTAGTAATTTGATATCTGAGATTGGTTAAAGCAGATTATTAATAGTTGAGATTATTCATGTTCATTTTTCCTTATACTTATATAGTTTTATATAGTACATAATACGTAGTATAACGCAAGAGGCTTGATACATTTTTAAAATCATATGGGCGTTAAATTTCTATATCACAAGAGAGTATGATGCATTAAACTAAGTAACGTGAACGAAAAAACCAGTATCACATATGGAGTTAATTTTTGATAGAAGAAAAAGTGATTGTGAATTCCCGGTGAATTCCTATTTAGTACTCCCTCCGTCCCAAAATGAACTTCACAGTCACTATTCACATGGTCAACTTAAATTACTCTTAATCTTATATTTTCTATATTAATTTTTTTATCAAATTTATATTTTTTTATCAGCCTTTGTAGCGGTTTTAATGTAGTTTCTCAATATGTAAATTTTATTTACTAAAAGTAATCTCAGTATGAACAGAGATCGAGTTACTTTATCGTCTGTCAAGCATCGTAATCCGAAATGGGAAGTCCATTTTGTAACATCGAGAGTGGTTACAAAAAAATCATTTTCACTTTTTATGCAACTAAGGGTTAGTTGTATGAAAGGATCCATCCTGAAGTATATGTGAATGTGCACATATAAGATGTTTTTACTTGTACTATTTTTAGTCCCAGACAAGATCAGACCAGACAAGATCAGACCAAATCAGACCAAAAAATTTCAGTCTAAGTAAAAACATCCATACTCCTACATTTCTGAAAGGTGCAAAAAAGGAAAAATGCCTCATGTTTCTATAAAGGAGCAAATTTACTCTTATTGACTTTAAATAAATAAAAATAAAATTTAAAAAACGCCAAAAATAAATTCTAAATTTAAAATTCGAAATTAATAAATAAAAAAATTATGTCCAATTCCCCTTTTTACTATTTTTATATCACAATTTAATATTGATAGTATAAAATATTATTTCAAAACTTTACTATATATTTATGGTTTTTTTCAGAAAAGTGTTAGTATATGTGGTGCAATGTAAAAAATAATTTTTGTTTGTATTCTATGAATCCGGTTCATAGATAAAATATGTCTTATTTTGTCTGTGCAAAATTTGTACACACATATTTTGTCTGTGAGCGGGATTCATAGACAAAAAAAAGTTTTGCACAAACATGGTGGGTATAAAAGTGAATATAAGAGTGAGTACAAACAACATTTTTGAAAAAATATTCGATAGTACTACGTTTTTTTTTTTTTAAATCGTAAACCAAATTTTGGTGAAATGTGATGTGATGTGATATTAAAATTATGCGTGTTACCCCCTTTTGTTGTAAAAAATGCACCCAACCCCTGTGTGTTTTAATAAACTAAGCACATTACCCCTACAAACGGTGAAGTTAACGTGATTGTACTACACGCGCGATTAATGCATTTTTTGGTTCTTTTTTACATTTTTAACTAGCAAAATGTCCAATTTACCCCATATTCATCACCTCCTTTCCTAATAATTGCCCCAAGCTGATTTTCTGAATTTTGTTTCGTATCTCATTTCTGTAAGTGTTGTGTGTAGACTTGAACCATTAATTATACTATATTTAATTACTCCGTATTTGTTTTCCAGATTTTTAACTTCTTTTACAATCTATTTTTTAAAAAGTATATTTTAAAAAGTGATGTCACATAGCTTCATCAACTTTTTTTAAAAGCATGCAATTTTAATTTCCAAACATTAAATTGAAGTGATCCATTAAATGGGAGTGATCCAAAATACGCAAAAATTAAAATAAAAATAGCCAATTTGGAGTATCACACGTTTTCAAATAGCAAAATTAAAGAGGAATATTACAACATGGTGCTGGAAAAAACACAACTTAGCAGGACAAAGAAGGAATATTACCCTTCACCAAAAGAACAACAATAAGTACCAGTGTTTTGCATTGTCAAAATTTTCAGAATAGCAAAATATAAAGCAACAACAAAAAATTCATCCTTTCGAGAATGAATAATTGTTGTCTTAAACATATTACTAGTTACTACCAATCTACCATACTAAACTGGTCACACATGCAAACCTATTTATTTGTACTTGAAGCTTTTTGGCTAGCTTTATGGGATGAGTGGATGCAGTTAGATGTATCAGGCTGCATTGTTGCTCCTAGAATATCCTGTATGCTCAAACAAAAATGGGATGAGTGGATGCAGGTAGATGCAATTTGGGTGTAGTTAGAGACCTCTCAACCTTTAGCACCATACTACTCCTTGGATTATATTTCTCCACGGTGGCACAATAGTCATACAATCTTTTGATTTGCAAACGGATGTCAGTTGTTAACAAAGAAAGGGCGTGCATCGTAGCCCTATAAACCTTATGCATACTTACTTCTATCCCACATTCACTTTTAATTTTATTTTTCAAAGCATCCAAGGTCCCATTAGGATTGTCCCTAACAGCTTCCAATATCCTCTCCCCAAGATACTTATAGTCCGCTTGATGATTATCTGTTCTAAAAGAACACTTGTGCTCTCCCATTAAAGTTTTCACTTGAAATGTTGAGCTGTTTTGAATCACCGATTGTCTCATCCTCCATTCACACCCACCCTTACAAACAGCAGTTATAACCTTGGCTTCACACTTTGGATACTTAAGATCATACCCTTTCCTAACAGACCAATCTTTTAACACTTTCTGAAAAATTTTCCGATCAGGGAACCTATGTCCGGAAGCCAATTCATAGCTCTGCATATCAACACTTTCACCCCATTCAAACTGATCCTCCCTCAATTCTTCTTTTTCACCATCACTATACCATTCTTCTTTTTCTAGGATTTTTCTTGTTTTTTCAGCATCTCTTACCTCTTTCCTTTTTTGTTTCCTATCCTTCACGCAGTTTCTCACACACTCCCATACTTTTCGTGAATGGTCTGGTGGCCTTGCAGAGAAGATGTCATCATCATCGCCCCCTTCCATATCTTCCAATGCCCAGGAGGGGCAAGAAGAGACCCCTGAGTCTGAATCATCAGTTGAAGAATTCCCCCATTCATCTTCTACTTCAGTATAAGGTTAATTAACATTAATTGTCAAAAGTTCAGAAGACATTTTTATGTGTCCTGCCAAATACATATATAAGCAAAGTCCAAATCATCAATGTGGTCAAACAATTAATTTTAACCCTTGTATGTTCGATATAATGTGCAAAGAAACACATGCTCAAACTAAAAAATGCAGAACTTTTAATTTATGTTTACCCATGTATAAATGTTCAAAACTAGATATAGCAGTTGCTCAATATATGCACAGTGCAGAAGAAGAAAAATAACCCAAATTAGAACATAAAATGCAGTTAAAAACTAACAAGTTATTTCCATTAGAGCTTGAATTTTATTTTTTCTCACTTTATTTTCAGAAAAAGCAAATACAAGTAATCCTTAGTCTTTATTGACTCTAAATAAGCCCCAATTACAATCCCTACTAATACGTACTATACTAAGTAACCCAAAAAAAATCAGACTACATTAATAAACAATAAACTTTTACAAAACAAAAAGTAAATTTACAATTATCTAACAATATGAAAAGGACAAGTTATTGGTAAAGCGTACCTCAAAATTAATGACGAGCAGCAGTCTAATTTTTCACCATCCAGTACGTAGAAGTTTTAAGAAGGAAAGTTAGTGGAAGTTAGGTATTTTGGATCATCTGGCTTCAAATTGGTGCGACGACCTTCTTCCCCTTCGATTTTTGAATGGAGTATTGAACGGCTGCCCTAATTTAGCGTAAGAACTGGGTTTGAAGTTGGCTACGAAATAAGGATATAACGGGATATTTGAAAAAAAGTAAAGGTGTCATTCCTTTATTCTGATAGGGGCGGGTAAGCACATTTAATAAAAACATAAGGGGCTTTCGTGCATTTTTTATAACAGAGGAGGATAATACGCATCATTTTAATATCACAGGGGGATTCTATGCATTAAACCCATATTTTATGCAACCAAATTTGTGACTTCACCTCACCTGCATTTTCGCTACGGGAGCCATTAACATTTCAAATTCATCAACCATGGCTCTCTCTTGTGCCCCAAGCCCACAATGACACCAAGTTCACAAACCATTAATTCTAGGGAAAATTTGAGTTTGCATCCCATTTTAGTATTCAAATTAGATTTTACACTTCGTTTTTTAAAAACTTTGTATGTGCACCCCTATCCCGTATGAAAAGACAAAAATGCCACTCGATCAGGAATATGTTGAAGGCCAACAAAAAAGGATGACACCCCATCCCTGAGGACCCCCCAACACCGACCGGACAGTTAGATAGGAGTGTTGAAGGCCAACAATGTTGTTAATGGAGGGTCATTTTTATCTTTTCATTCGGGGTTGAGGTGCAAAAACAAAATTTTTAAGAACGGGGTGCAAAGTCCAATTTGAACAATAAAATAGCGTGAAAACTCAAATGCTACCTTAATTCTAAGAATATCAATGAAAGCAATTACTATGTGGCATTCATAATAGTCTGGTGGATTATTCTCTTTATTTAGGAAATGCTCAAATTGTTCAAGTATGCTACCATAAAATTAAATGATGGCCTCAATCATCTTGATGAGAAAGGAAAATTTTATGTATATATGTTGTAGGGAGAATTGTGTGTGCGATTTGAGTACCAAATGCTCTATAAATAGGGAGAGAGTAGGCTTTACAAGGATGAGCTAACATGCCCATAATACTGAGTATACACAAGATGACTCTAATACATATTCTATATACTGGATAACACACTACATAGAATTTCCCTAAACACATCCCATTGTGTTTAGTTACAGATAGAATTTGGTATCAGACTTGTTGCCTCTTCAAAACATTGTCAAATAACAAAACCTTGTGGGGAAAAACAACCTTGACTGGAGAAAAAAAGTATAAATAACAAAACCTTGTGGGGAAAAACAACCTTGACCGGAGAAAAAAAGTAGAGCATCACGATAGACTTCTTCTATTAAGTCTATCTTTATTTTATCCTTGCTTTGATCAATAATATTTATATGTATTGTTACCTCATTAAAAAACTTACCAAGTAACAAAACCCAACGAGAAAATAAAACTTGGTTAAAGGAAAACAGTGTAACGTTGTGTATGTGTCGGGACGACTCCCCCTCACATCTACACCTATACTTAATAAATACATTAATCAAGGATATTTGAAATGTCTGTGCATTCCAATACTTTTTACATTATTTACCATATCGAAAGCACACAAATAAAGGAATATATTTCCTTTAATCCTCCCCCTATGTGCCAAGTATAAGGTGATAAGTGTAGAAATTATTAACTTGCTGAAAACTTTGCCAATAAAAAACCTAATGAGAAAAATAAACATCGATCAAACGGAAAAAGAAGTATGATGTACTAATAACCACATATGCTTACATGAATTAATATGCTTTTATTCTAGGAAATAGGTTAGAAACCTAACTATTCAAAATAGGTTTCACACCTTTCTAAAAGCTTCCTACAAGTGCAGATGTTATCTTGTAAAAAGCAATAAGGCATATGCAATAAGTGTCAAGGAAGCATCACACTCAAATGGGAGCAACACAGAATCAAAAGCAAACAGAAGATTATTCTGCACTTATATCCAAAGAAGATACATTTGGAAAATCCAAATGTGCTCTCCTTTCCATGTCAGAAGGGTGTGCACTAATGACTTGTGACAATTACTCACTTTCAGGAGGTCTGTGTGTGTTCTAAAACGTGGAAAAGATAGCTGCTTTATAATGTGTGTTAACAATAACAATCAAATAGCTTTCAATTTTTTTCATTTTTTTTAAAAAGTATTTGAAAGAAAATACAATTCGGTTATTTTTAAAAATTTCCTGAAATGCAGTTTAGAGTTATTAGCGATTTATTCTGTGAAGCTAGAAAGAGAAATTTGAAATGCTTTAAAAACAGAGTTACTCTCTTGCTCCACCTTTTCCTTGAGCTGACAGGTATACTTTTGGGAACATGTTTCGACTTTTATTACATTCATACAATCAGTTTCTTATATTTTTAATGTGTTTTTCAAATTTAGATCATTAATTTAACAAATTGTGCTAAAAATGCTGCATGGAGCTTATGAAAATAACTAATCTCCATTGAAGGGCATATTACAGCTTAGCAACAATGGAGATTGAAGAACAAGAAGGAAGATATTCCAGAAAGATGAAAATAGAGAATCGATAGAAAGACAGTTCAACAAGCGTATCATTACAAGTGTTCAGACTTAATATATATATTTACAAATTAAGTCAACTATCTAACTGTATACAACTGATTATCTAACAGAGTGCCACATCAGCTCTTCAGTATGAGTGCAGCTTAATTAGTTCCACATTCCCCCCTCAAGCTGGAATGGATGGAAAGAACTTCATTCCAAGCTTGACGGATAGAAATTTGTGTTGCTCAGCACCAAGAGGTTTTGTCATAATGTCAGCTAACTGCAAACTTGATTTCACATGTTGTGTTAAAAGAAATCCTTCTTGCTGTTTCTCTCTAACATAATGACAATCTACATTTAAATGTTTAGTTCTCTCATGGAAAACTGGGTTCTGAGCAATGTGTTCTGCAGCTTTATTATCACAAAAAGATTGATGGGTAGTGGAACTTGAATTTGCAGGTCTGTGAGTAATCTTTCTATCCATACCATTTCACTTGCAGTATAAGACATGCTTCTATACTCTGCTTCTGCTGTACTCTTGCTAACAGTTTTTTGTTTTTTAGTTTTCCAGGATACTAATGAATCACCAAGGAAAACACAATATCCACCCAATGATTTGCAATTGAAAGCACATTGTCCCCAATCAGCATCACTATAAGCCTTCAGGTAAAGATCTGATTTAGCAGAATAAAATAGACCAACATTTATAGTTGTTTTCAAATATCTAACCACATGCATTGCTGCCTGTAAATGTGGTATTCTTGGTTGACTCAAGAATTCGCTTAAATGTTGGACTGAATATGATATGTCAGCTCTTGTTAGGATGCGATACAACAGTCTTCCAATTATTCTTCTGTAGTAATCTGGATTGGGTAGCAAATCTCCTTGATCAACAGATAATTTCAATCCCTTTGGTAATGGGAAATGAGTATCTTTGCAATTTTCCATGTTTAGATCTCTGAGAATGTCAATGATATACTTCCTTTGATTGAGTAATATTCCTATCTCATTTCCTGTTACTTCTATCCCTAGGAAGTATCTCATTAATCCCAGATCTTTGACAGTAAATTTCTTATCAAGTCCTTTCTTCACAAATTGAATTTTTGTTTGATCATTCCCAGTAAGTAGCACATCATCAACATATACCAGGGCAATAGTATGAGATCCTGTGATAGTTGGTCAATTCAATATTCCATTGTCTTGAAGCTTGTTTCAACCCATATAAAGATCTCTTTAGTCTGCAAACTTGATCTCCTTTGTCTTTGTAATACCCTTGATCTGGTGGTATCATAAAGACTTCTTCATCAATATAACCATGCAGAAAAGCATTGTTAATATCAAGTTGGTGTAGAGGCCATTCCTTGATAGCAGCTAAAGCAAAAACTGTTCTTACAGTAGTAAGTTTTGCTACAGGGGAGAAAGTATGTTTATAATCTTTATCCTTCACTTGATTATACCCCTTAGCAACAAGTCTTGCTTTAAATCTTTCAACACTTCCATCTGCTTTTTGCTTGATTTTGTATACCCATCTTTATCCTATTGCCCTTTTTCCTGGGGGTAATTGAGTCATTTCCCATGTTTGATTAGACTCTAGTGCCTCAATCTCCTTGTTCATTGCTGCAACCCATCTGTCATCCTTAACAGCTTGTTGGTAACTATTTGGTTCATGTTCACTTATTACATTGCATAAAGTAGCTATGTATTCTGGATCAAAAGTAAACTTGTCTAACATGTGAGCATGAAAAGATGTTGAAATATTTCTGTTGTTCTGAACAGGAAGTTTATTAGGACAATGAAATCCTTGGAGTTTTGTTGACATCTGTTTTGCTCTAGTAGATCTTCTCACTGGGAGATCTCGAGGATTAGAGTTGGATTCATTTTCTTGTTCATGTAAATGAACAGATTGATCAATCTCAGTAGTCATGACAATAGGTGGAACATTTGAGATATGCTCTTGAGATGATGACTGAATTAGAGGAATTGAATTCCTCCTATCTTCAGGAATTGAATTACTCCTATCTTCATTACCCCTATATTCTGGAATGATAGGGTTAAAAGTATTGAAGATAGAATCCTCTGTTGTATTCTGAGTAGCTTGAGTGTCAGTTTTGAATGAAAATTTGTCTTCTTGAAACTTGACATCTCTACTGATAAAAACAGTATGGTTGTTCAGGTCATATAATTTATATCCCTTTTATCCAAAAGGATAACCAATGAATATACATCTTCTTGCCTTTAAACCAAATTTGTCCTTGACTGTATTGGGTAAGGAAACAAAGCATAATGAGCCAAAGACCTTTAATTCTTCATAATCTAGTGGTTCTTTGAAGAGTAACTCATATGGTGTTTTCCATTGTAAAATGGAAGATGGCATCTTGTTTATGAGATATGTGGCAGTTAACAGACACTCCCCCCAGAACTTGATAAGAAGATTAGCATGTATTCTCAATGCTCTTGCTATCTCTATTAAGTGTCTATGTTTCCTTTCTATTCTGCCATTCTGCTGGGGTCTTCCGGGTACACTTCTGTGATGAACTATCCCTTTTTCTTTAAATGTTGTATCACAGAAGTCTTGTATACATTCTGTATCATTTTCTGTTCTAACAATTTTAACTTGAGCTTGAAATTGTGTTTGAATATAGTTCAAGAAATTCTTGATTAATCCTGGAACTTGTTGCTTGTTTTGTATAAAAAACGTCCAGGTGGTTCTTGAATGATCATCAACAATAGTTAGAAAAGACCTAGCTCCAGTCATAGTGGGGGTTTTATATGGTCCCCAAACATCCATGTGCAGTAAATCAAAACAGGTTTTAGCATAGGAATCACTTCTAGGAAATGGTAAAATATGATGTTTAGCTACGACACATGATTCACAGAAATATTCTTTTATTCCATGTACACTGCTATCATATATGTGTTTCAACTTCTCAATAGAAGTATGGCCTAGTCTAGCACGGATCAAAGAGATATCAACATGCTTACACTTATTCAATGCAAATTGTTTATTACTAGTAGAAGTATTACACATAATATGTGTATTAGGACTAGGATGACTATCAGCATGAACTTGATAAAACTTGTAAAGATCTCCTCTTCTCTGACCGCTTCCAAGAATAATCTCACTTGAATGGTCCTGAATGATGCACTCATTTGGAAAGAAAATCATAATCATGTTAGTGTTTTCAATTAAACGACCAACAAATAGTAAATTTTGATGAAAATCAGGAACAACCAGAACATTTTCAAGGATGATATCTGAAGTTAACTTCAACTTTCCAACTTTATGAACAAGTTTAATAGATCCATCAGGTAACCCTACCATAACAGTTTTTTTTAGTTGTTTGATGTCATACAACCAGTCAATCTTAGAAGTTATGTGATCAGAAGCTCTTGTATCAATTATCCATTCTTGGTGCATAATAGTATCAACTGTTAAAGCATGAATTGTTGAAGGGTTTCCTGCAAAGCTGACTGCAGCATTTGAGCAGCTTGCTCCATTTTGTTCTGAGATTATTTTCATTACTTGTTGAACAACTGTGTTAACAATTCCATTCATAGAAGATTGATTAATAGCAATTTCTGAATTATTTCTGTTTCCTGATATAGGAAATTCCTCCATTGGAATATCTTCTTCAGAATAGTCAAGAACATTCACATTATCAGCTTTCCTGAAGTTATTGTTTCCTGAGGTACTCTTCCTTGTATATTTTCCAGAACCTGCTGAATTTCTTGGATTCTTTTCAGGATATAACTTGTAACATTGGTCCTTTTTGTGCCCCTTTCTTCCACAATATGCACATTCGATCAATTTAAAACATTCTTCCTTATTGTGTCCCTTTTGGTAACAATAAGTACATTTCTTTCCCACAGCAGCATCATAACCATAGTACTCATCATCTTCAGTTTTGGTTCTTTTCCAATTGTCCTCTCTTCTTTGTTCATCATTTCTTTTGTTATTTATTCCTTCTGTTGAAAGAGAAGCATAAGCATTTGCTTCTGTAAGAAAATCCAATGCATCAGTAATTTGTTTTTCCCTTTCAATTTTCTGCAGAAGTGATAAAGCTTTATTCATCTGTGGAAGTGGATCCATGGTCAAAATAGTACTCTTCACATTCTCATATCCAGAATTGAGTCCCATTAACAACTGGATGAGTTTTGAGTGATACTCCTTATCCAGAATACGTTTCAGTAACTGACATGTGCAAAGACTGAGTGCTCCACAAGTACAGTCTGGTACAGGATCTAGGCTATGAACATCCTCCCATTTCCTTTTTAGATTATTGTAATAATGAATCAACGGTTGATTTTCTTGTGTAAGATTACTTATCTCTTTCTTAATCTGATAAATCTCCAATCCATTAGTTTGACCATACATTTCTGTAATTTCTGACCACAGTTCCTTAGATGTGTTAGAATACATCAAGTTTTCTTTTATGACTTTATCCATTGAATTAAGCAGCCATTTCATAACCATTAGGTCACAACGAAGCCATTGATGATACCTTTTATCTTTCTTGTCAGGTGCAGAACATCTGCCATCAAGAAATCCAGATTTATTCTTCAATGCCAAAGCCATAGTGATGTCACGTTTCCATGAGAGAAAGTTTGATCCACCAAACAGATTATCTACAAGCTTCATGTTAGGTTGATCCGAGGAAGAAAGGAAGAGAGGATCATCAAAGAAATCATAATTCTGAGAATTATGAGTTGTATGTGACTCAGAATCCGTAGTTTCTGGCATTTTCAGAAAACGAAGATCGAAACTAGAAATTCAGATTATCGATGAAGATCGAAGAGAAGAGAAGTTCCGATAACTTGAAATTGACGTTATCGGTGAGAAACAGATGATATGTATTGGATCGTTTACTGATACTGTGGCTCTGATACCATATGAAAATAACTAATCTCCATTGAAGGGCATATTACAGCTTAGCAACAATGGAGATTGAAGACAATAAGGAAGATATTCCAGAAAGATGAAAATAGAGAATCGATAGAAAGATAGTTCAGCAAGCGTATCATTACAAGTGTTCAGACTTAATATATATATTTGCAAATTAAGTCAACTATCTAACTGTATACAACTGATTATCTAATAGAGTGCCACGTCAGCTCTTCAGTATGAGTGCAGCTTGATTAGTTCCACAGAGCTATCATTTTGGCATGTTTGTCCGCGTGACTAACATTTTGATGGATGTTTCTGTATTTTCTATTTAAAGTTAAAAAGAATTTGAATATTTTGTCATTGGGTGGCCCTTCATACGCATCATGTTTCTATTCATGTCTATATTTAGATTTAGATTAATTTTAGACAAGAAATTTTACATGCTCCTACCAGCAGTCCTTGAGGATTTTTGGAGAGTCTTGATTCAAACTCCTACGGTATCTTTTGTTTGTTTCTATTTACCAAACCTATCATACTTATTTTCTATATAGTTTTTATACTCCCATATCATATTTGAGGCTTTAAGCTATTAAAGGGAAAACAGATTAAGGCAAAAGATGGTATGAGGTTCATTCCTGAAATTGAGGAACAACAAAAGGAAATATATAAAAGCAAGACATAAACGACATCAGATTCAGGTCTGCATACGTTTCATTATTTCTTCCCAAATCAGTATTAAGAGTAAATACTTTGAAAAACTATTTCTGAATACACTCACAAAGTTAGAAGATTAAAGATTAATGAAATAAATTTGAGGTTAGGCAGAAATGGTTGTAATTTGGACCACACTAAATCATATTAGTTGCATTCTCAACTAATATCTTCCAAGTAGAGAGTAATTAACAATGCACAAAAACACTAAAAAGAAATTCAAAAGCATCACAGTGAAGGGAAAACAAAGCAGAGAAAGAGGATTCTTACCGCACAAATGCGGTGAGGTAGCGCATGAGTTTTTCCCAGAGAATTAGCAGATGTCATAAGTTGGTCTTCACTGGAACTCAAAAAAACAAAGGCTTACCATCTATCTTTAATTTCACAATCAATGAGAGATTCAAATGCAATCATCGATATCATTAAAATAAAAAACAGTATAACCTAATTGCAGGGAGAAGACGAATGGAGACAATGTGTCAAACGCCAGTGAGTAGTGCCGACCTTCCCTCTGAGCGGAAGAAATGCAATCCACCATATTTTAAACTGTAGATAAAGTGATAAACTGTAGTCACTTCTTTTTCGATTTACAAGTGTGAAATCGACGAACATCTTATGCGAATAGTGCGAAGTATTTAAAAATTGCAAGCCATAGCCATTGAGAATTCAAATAGGTGTCTGCTCGCCATAACTGTGGAGTATCAAAAATGTTGAGGTGCTTGACAAGAGAAGAGGAGGCGAAAGGAATCAAAGGATACAGCTGGGACGGAAATAAGCGAAAGTGAAGGCTTATTAGAAGGGGAACATCTAATGGAAAGGTTTTTTCCGTTAAAACACAAGCTATAATACTAAGTTAAAAAGTACAAAACCCCATACACAATGTACAATGACCTTATGCAGCAAGAGACCAACACATTTTGTATGACCGTTATACCCTTAACAATATTCACTCTTATAGTCTTGTAGAGATGTAGAGATAAATATATGTACTAGTCTTTAACCCATGCGTTGCACGAGACAAAGAAATCGGTGAAACATGCAAAATCTAAATAGATCAATCATATTATCCAGAAATGATGGATACATGCTAGCAACAATTTGAGTACACTTTGAGTAAGAGGGACATGTGGAGTGGTAATAAATATATCATCAGGTATATAAATGAAGACATCTCCATAATGTCATTCTCAATATTTTCATTTCCTAATTTGAGCATCAAAGCTGAGAAGCTTTTCAATTCATTGACTTTACAATGTGAAGAACGACACCACGCCTCATTTTTTGTTGAAGTCATAACGTGATAATGTCTCCAAAATGTGAGATATTTATGGTAGCATAAGAGTTTACTTAATGATAAATTATTAGATTAATTCACCATATCATAGATAAGTCTATTTTATGATTCAAAAATCAATGACACGTCAAGTCATGACACGGACGGGAGCTAAGTCAAGTCAGGTTGCATAAGAAGTGACATTATTAAAAACAATATCAATGCCATGAAAATCTACAAATCAATGCAACAAAAATGTCACAATTGTCAATATCAAATGTTAGTACCATAAAAATGACATTGCTACTCCCTTCGTCCCCTATTATTGTCCCATTTTTTCATTTTTGGATGTCCCTATATTATTGTCTCATACTATATTTGATAACATTTGTGTGGCTCTAATTCATTCTTACTTTATTCACACCTTATCAACTCATTATCAACCACATAATTCTACTTTTCTTAAAAACCACACCATTCTCTTCCACCCCAATATTAGGGGGACGGAGGTAGTACTATAAAAAAAATAGAGTTAATAAAGAAAGAAGGAAATAGAATCACTCTGGAGTTACGTACGATTTGAAAAAGGAAATTATTGATTATTGGGACTTCTTATCGCCCCCGGTCATATCTCTTGGTCATCTTTATTTGATCACTGAGTTTTTATATCGCCCCCTCGATCATCGCTCTCAATGACCTTTATTTGATAATTTGAGTTCGTTCGGGCCCATCAGCGGTCTCTCTTGGTCATCTTTATTTGAAAACTGAGGTCACTTCTAATTTCAAATATAAACAAAAGTATTGAATATTACCGCTTACTTTTAGTACGCCTGAAAAGGCTAATAAGCTGAAAATAGAGGTCATCAAACAACCCCTAAACTTATTAAATAAGTTAATGGCATTCATATTGAGAAAGTTCCAAAATGAATGTCATATCATATGCAACACCATTGATGACCCAATAATAAATATAATGACTATCGTAATGCAATATAGAAAAAAATATAAAATTCTAAGATACTAAGCAATCAAAACTAAACTGTGTCTTATTTTTAATAGCTTAAAAATAAAACTGTGATATATTGTTCCTGTTGAGAGCATGTACGGCAACACAAAAATAGGCCAAATCAGTTCATTTTGGTGAAATTGATGAAGTTTTGGTTGAAGTGTTTGTATCTGCCTAACTATAAAAAAATAAAATATATTTATTAAGGAAGTAATAAAAAAAATATGTGAAAAATAGTTAAAATGATCTTTTACGGTAATTTTAGGCAATTCAGTCAGAAAAGTTATTACAACCGTACTTATTTTGATTATCACGAACACAATACAGTGTAAAATCAAAAGTTAAGTGTTTGATCAAAATGAGTTTATGCCACGTTCGGTCCCCCAACTATTATGTAAGTGACACTTTTGGTACTGGACTTCTAATTTTTTCATTTTTAGTTCTGGACTATTGTGCGAGAGATACTTTTAGTCCCCGACTTCAAGATTTCTCACATTTAGTCCCCTGACTATTGTAATTTTTAGACACAATAAATAGAGGACTAAAAATGTCACTATTATAATAGTTGAAGAACCAAAAGTGTCATTTTTATGAAAGTTGAAAGACTAAATATGAAAATTTTCAAACACGGATACCAAAAGTGTCTCTAGCGCAATAGTCGAGGACTAAAAATAGAAAAAATCAAAGTCGAGTACCAAAAGTGTCAATGACATAATAGTCGGAGGACTTTTTAATTTGTATTCTCAAGGTTACAAAATATATATCAAGATTCATAACTTTTTATTTAAGTTTCTCATATGACACCAATATTTAAGATTGATATCATGTGAAAGAGAAAAAATTATAAATTTTGATATATGTTTTGTAACGATCGGAGTAAAATCAAAAAAAATTTACATTAACAATCGGAGTATAAATAAAAAGTTGTAGCATTTTAAAAAAAAATGATTTTAAAGTGTTAAATTATTATTTTATATTTATGTTTTGAACATCGGTGTCGTATGAAAGATACTACTCCTTAAAAGTTATGAGTTTTGATTTTTTTTGTAACAATTAGAGTACAAACAAAAAATTATAGCACTTTAAAAAATAGATGTTTTTAGATGGTTTAACTGTTTTTTATTTTTATATATTCAATATTGATGTCATATAAAAGATAATAAAAAATTATAAAATTTGTTATATAGATGGGACCCGTTTTTTCTTTCTTTGTTGTGGAGTACTTTTTTAAAACCCACGGTGTTGGCACTTTTTGATGATTAATGCTTGGTGGATGCATTACCATATTTAAATCTCACATTAGTTTACCATTAAGTCTTCATTTTGGGCGGTACTATTAATCCCAGCAAATTTTATTTGATATAAAAAATAAAAATGTTATGAATAATATGGTACAAGTAAGATTTATGAAGAAAAGCAAGGCCAGATTGTATAATGTAGAGATTTTTTGTTTCTAAATTAAAGAATCAGGCCTAGCTTTTCTGCATAAATATCATTATACATATTGATCAAGATTACTTAATAAGATGTTCTAGATAACGTTTAGGGCTCAACTTAAAACCCCTTGAATTCCCATAACGGTGTGGTAATACATTTATGTGATAGGGTAATTAATACATTCAGGTCTTCAGGAGCAGTTTGATTTCTCCCCTCCCTCGACCTTCTCTCTCGTCTTCAATGGATTATTTGCGGCCTTATGCAAGATAATGCTTCCATCTGCAAAATAGTGGTACTTTTATTTCTTAATTATTTTTAATTTGAAGTCCGAGCCATGGAATTCTGTCGCCAGCCCTGCACACTATTATCTTCCTCTCTCATTTTCTTCCCATCTCATCTTTCCGTCTCTAGTTTTTCACGGGTTTAGGCTCTGAACGGCTTCTTTTTGGGTTGGTCTGGGTGAATTGAAGGTTTTGGAAGAGTCAAAGCAAGATTCACAGTTGTAGAAGCTCTGAACCCTTCTTCAGGATTTTCTGGAAAGGTAATTCCTATAGTCTCTCTCAGATTGATTTTCTTGAATTCCATCACATCCATTCCAGTCCTTTTATAACAGTAATCCCGTTTGACATATTCTAAATGACAGCTTAATCTTGTTTTATTTGTAATATTCACACGCATGTTCAAAGATAAGCAACACAACTAAGTGTCCATATTTAAAGACATTGCTTTCAACATTTCAAAAAATGTGGTTTTGCGGTAACTCCTTTTTATATATTAAGTACGTAGTATAGAGAGAGAAAGTGTATTCAGCAAGTATGCAGCGTTTATGACTTGGTTATAAATGGGGAAATGAGGTGCTATTTATAGTAGCAATAAATGCCGGACAGGGACACGTGTCAAGCGCCCATTGGCCGAGAGGTCACCTCAACTGGTTGGCGCTGACAGCCGCATGTGGCCGCATTTAATGCGGATGTTGGATGGGACGTTGTACAGGGTACGGTGATCTGTACGCATGTGGCGCGGATATTATGTCGGGAAAAGTGCCCTCGGCTGCGGAGGACTAGCCGAGGGCTCTGAGTGCCGGGGACCCCTGGGTGCCGAGGGCTCCAGGTGCCGAGGGCTGCTGTTTTCTGCCGTTTTTCCTAGTTTCTTAGTTTGCTTGAGAAACCCGTTCTGTGAGAGTTTAGAGCCTTCGGCCAGGGGGCCGAAGGCACCCCTGGTGCGCATTGCGGGCTGCTTGGTACTCTGGGCGCTGTGATTTGGGCCTGTTGGGCCTTCTGGGCCTGTTGGGCCCTTTTCTGGAGTAGTATGAGTCTGTGGGCCGGGTGTTCCCGGGCCATATACTCCATCAGGAGTCCCTCACTCCTTTTGCCGAAAGGTACTTGAGGGAAAAGGAGTAATTTGTGTTTGTCCCCTGCCGTTGTTCCGTTGTAATCTCTGAGATTGGTGAGGAGTTGTTGCTTGCATGTCCCTGCCGAAGGCAGTCCCTCAGTTACCCACATGTCGGGACTTGAGGGATTGCTTTGCCGCCTGTTGGAATTTTTCACCAATTTTGTAATTTAATAATTTTCCCGAAGGGGTTCTCCAGTCCCCCACTCCTTGAGGCACTTGTAAAGTGGTGAAAAGGAGTAGAGTTTAGTCCGTTGTAGCATGGGGCCGAAGGCTGACGCTTTTCGTTTCATTTTGGGGGGGATGCCTCGTTAAAAACCTCATTAGGAAAAACCCTGGGGGAAAAAATCTTAATGAGGGAAAAAGAGTGCACCGAATTCCCCCAACGATGAATCGAAAATGTGAAACCTTAGTCAAAAATGGAGAATAATGGTAATGCCGAAGGCTCTCCTTGTTCTGAGGGCTCATGTGTTGAGTAGCCGGAGGCTTGCTGTTGATGTCCTGGGAGGTGCCGAAGGGGAGCCCCTCAATCTGGGGATCGAGGGCGTGATGGATGAGGGCAATAGTTGATCATTGCTCGTGCTTGCTGATTAGTTGGTGATGAGGATATCCGAGGGCTCTCATTACCTGTGTGCCGTAGGCTATCCGTCAATGAGGCATACTCCCCGGGGGCTACCCGGCCCTTACACTGCTGAGGGGGAATCCCCAAGGGGTGGCCTGATATGAAG